AGGCTGGATTTATTAGTATGAAAATTAGAATCTGAGTCTGTAAGGTACTTTCTAAACCTGCGGATGGCTGTGGAATTTTTCTTCCAAATAAAAGGCACAATCTCTGTAATAACTCATTTCATACTTACATGTCTTCATATTATATTTCTTCAAATAAAATCATTCCCATAAATGCTAAGTGAAACGGTTAAAAGTGTGATAGTAATAAATCATTCGCCTAACTGAAACAGCGTTGATTCAAGCTTCTATTTATAGAGGTGGTAGTAATGATAATAGATGGCATTTATTGAATGATCTTTGTCAAATACTTACATCTGTGTTTCCCAAACAACAGCAAGTACTATCTCAATTTCAGATTTTAAAAAGACAATTTTAGGAGGCTAAGGAACTTGTCCATGAGCACATACCTAGAAATTGTCAGAGGCAGGATTGGAACCCAGATCTCAAACTCAAAGTTCCCATGTAATCACCACATATTGCCTCTAAATATATAAATATGTAAAAACATTTCTATTTAGAAACATATAAGGCTTTGAAAATAATATATGGACCCATATTGTTTTAAAATATTATTATTTAACTTCAAACAGCTGCAAGTGTCAAAAAAAACCTGTCTTAAATTCTCCTTTGTGGTTGTTATTTTTTGTTTGTGTTGTTTTGTTTGCAGGTGTAACATGAGTGAGAAGTTCAGAGAGAGAGAGTTGAGAATTAAGAATATGGTCAAAACTCCTGTTCTTAGCTGTGCAATGGACTTGACACTTTAAAAGACCCTCCAGCAACAAAATAACTTGATTCTAGGCATTAAGCAAACCTGACAAAAAACTTTGAAGAGTCAGTATCATACAGACAAATGCAATTAAGTTAGAAGTTGTTAACAATAAATTTAAAATTCTCAAATATTTAGAAATTTATACATGCTAAATTATCCATCAGTCAAAAAGGAAATCATAACAAACATAAAAAATACTTGTAGCTAAATTATACTATCATAAAACTTGTATGATGCAGAAAAAGTTGTACATAGAGAGGTTTATACCTTTAAATTCCTATGTTAGAAAACAGGTTGAAAATTGATAGGCTAGGTGTAAGATACACATTAGGAAAAGCAAAGAACATGGAAGAAAAAATATAGAAAAGAGAAGAAATCAATGGAATTAAATTATAACTATCATGAAACTTGTATGATACAGAAAAAGTTGTACATAGAGAGGTTTACACCTTAAAATTCCTATGTTAGAAAAGAAGGTTGAAAATTTATAGGCTAGGTATAAGATACACATTAGGAAAAGAGTAAACCCAAAGAAAGGGAGTAAACCCAAAGAAGGGAAGAGAAGGGAACATGGAAGAAAAAAATATAGAAAAGAAGAGAAATTAATGAAGTGGAAAAAAAAAGTTACAATAAAAGAGATTTTTTTTGAAAAGAAAAAAGTTCTTCATTGAAAAGATTAATAAAAAGGAAAGCCTCTGGTCAGCTTAATAAAGTAAAAAAAAGGAGGCATAAATATATAATATTAGGAAAAGATGGATAGAATTACAGATAAAGCAAAGACTAAACTTTATATCAATAAATTTTAAAATTTAGACAAAAAGCAAAATTTTCTAGAAAATATAACTTACCAAAACTGATTGAAGGATTAGAATGCCTCAAGAGTCCTAAAATTAAAATGATTGAATCAATATTAAACGATTACCCCAAAGAAAATGAACCCAAATCATTTTACAAATGAATTTTATCAGACTTTCAAGAAAGAATGGTCATTCCAATTTTAGGTCCTTTCCTTCAGAAAATAGAAAGAGAGGAAATAGTCCCCAATTCATTCCATGAGGCCATTATAATCTTGACACTGAATCCAGAGAAGGATAGGACAAAAAGGAAGGTGTATGGTTATAAGATCAAATTGCAAAAATTAACTAAATTTCCAAATACCTATAATAGAAAGTTAGAAATTTTAATTTAAAAGGAATTGTAGCAGGCCGGGCGCGGTGGCTCACGCCTGTAATCCTAGCACTCTGGGAGGCCGAGGCGGGCGGATTGCTCAAGGTCAGGAGTTCAAAACCAGCCTGACCGAGACCCCGTCTCTACCATAAAAATAGAAAGAAATTAATTGGCCAGCTAATATATATATATAAAATTAGCCGGGCATGATGGTGCATGCCTGTAGTCCCAGCTACTCGGGAGGCTGAGGCAGGAGGATCGCTTGAGCCCAGGAGTTTGAGGTTGCTGTGAGCTAGGCTGACACCACGGCACTCACTCTAGCCTGGGCAAGAAAGTGAGACTCTGTCTCAAAAAAAAAAAAAAAAGAAAAGAAAAGAAATTAAATCCTTTATGAAAAAAAAAATTAGATTCACTAAGTCAGAAAAACCTCTACAATCAGCAACATCACTACATATAAATATTCAACAAAAGGGGCGTGGGTAACAACGACCTACCTGATTGCAGGCATCTCAGCATCCCCACGCAGCAGTCTTTTACGAACATCTAGTGGAGTCGAACTTACATTTTTGCAGTAACTTCGCAATCCTGGTAAATATGGCATTTTGACACATCCTTTGACCTCTTCTAGACCAAATGCTGTGGTGTATTCTAATTTAAAATATTATCATGATCATCTTGATTAAACATATATTTCTTTTACTACATATTAAAATACATAATGAAATATGTTAATACAAAATCAGCCATTATATAAAGAAAATTAAGTAACTATAACTTATCCAGCATCTTTCCCAGGAGAATGTCTTTCAATTCCTACCACAGGACTATAAGAAGGGATAGATTAAGGGACTGATTTAGAGTTAGAATAAGAAAAAGGACAGCTTGGCAGACCTTCCACAGTCCTCACTGTCCTCTGTGGTCATTATTTTATTTAACTAAAATTCCAAGAATACTATATACATTCACATGGAAATAGAAGGCACTTTCAAGAATCTTATCTACTACTTTGAATCTGTCCACTTTCCTACTTTTATGTAAATAATCAAGAGATATAGAGGCCAGGCACAGTGGCTCACACCTGTAATCCTAGCACTTTGGGAGTCTGAGGTGGGAGGATCAACTGCTGGAGGCCAGAAGTTCAAGATCAGCCTGGGCAACATAGCAAGACCCCATCTCTATTTAAAAAAAAAAAAAAGTTACTGAGGAGGCTGAGGCGGAAGGATTGCTTGGATCCCGGTAATTTGAGGTTACAGTGAGCTATGATTGTGCCACTGCATTCCAGCCTGTGCAATAGTAAGACCCTGTCTCTAAAAAATAAAAATAATTTAAAATGAGTTATAAATTCATAATCAGTTCAGCTAGCAATGAGAGATAAAACAATTCTACTTCAAGCATTGATTTTAATTTTCTCTCCACAAAATTCCCTATCAACTATTAATATAAAAAGGCAACATGGGGGAGGGGAGAAACAACATTGAAGAGTCAAGACTGCTTATTCTGCTGACTTCACGTATCAATGGACCAAGAGATTGTCAATTTATATTTTTAAAAAATCAATATGAAGGCATTTAGGGGAAAAAGTAGATTAAGAGGTTAAAGGTTTGGCTGTTCTTTAAACTAAACATAGAAAAAAAATTTAAACATCCTGTACAAAGTGAGTCTAGCACAGCAACAAAAATAGTACTTTAATAGGACTAGAGTTATTATTAAATGTTAAAAATACTTATTAAATACAAATACTTATTAAATATAAAAATACATATTAAATGTTCAAAATACTATTTTATAAGCTTTGATTTTTACTGTTTTGGAAAAAAATAGTTTTTCTTCATCAAAAACATATACATTCTCTTTTCAACAATTTGATTTGGGGGATAAGAGGATGGATAAACTGGTGTCTTTTGAGAACCTTTAATGAGAACCTGGTGAAAAAGTTGAAAAAAAAATGTATAGCAGACACTCAAAACCAGAGCGGATTGAAATAGTTGAGGAGTTTGGATTTTGCTGTTTCAAGAATTATATCTCCATTAATAAAGCTGACAGCAGAATTCAGAATAAACAAGAAATGCAATTATAACTTGAAAGTAAGCGGGAAGCTATTAGTATACTCAAACACATGTCAAAAGTTCTCATACTTTCTTAAGACTCAAAGACTTTATTGAGCAATTAGAGGACATGAAATACTCTAACTTGCTTAAAAATAAAGTTTTAGTTGAAATTATTAATATATAAAGGCACTTTAAAGATTTTGGTGTCTTAAAATATAAAAATCAACTTTATTAAAAAGAAAACACTACAAAAAGTGTGATCAGAGGTGGTACTATACTGAATATTAAGAGAAGTAGTTCTTTAAAATGTGTTTCTATCATGAGTCACAGAATTACATTAATGAAATGATTTTAATTTGCTTGTATTTTTCCATAAGCTTAAGATATAATTCTTACATAAATATCATGGAAATTATAAAACATGTCTTGACTGCTTGAAAATTTGCATGTATTCTAAGAAAATTTATACAAAAAAAAACAAATTTCTATGTTTTCCTAAGTAAAACAGTAATAATAATGAAGTTACCTTTCCTTATCTTTTGTGTTTCCAAAACTGCTTTCCTCCAACTATTCTCAAAAACAAAACCACTGTCAAGGGAATTTCTGGGTACTTCAGAAGTATCAAATTTGATTTCAGGAGATAACACTGACATTTTTTCTTCTTCTTTCAATAGTGCTGATGAAAATGAGAGGCTACTCCAGAAACAGGACACAAAAAACAAAGAAAACAAGGTATTCCAGAGGTTAATGTTTTTTCTGATTTATTTTCCATCATGCATATTAAATACTAACATAGATTTAAATGAAAAGCTTACTTAGAACATGTAAATACATATTCTTGGGATTTTAAAGCAAAAGCCCTTTAAGAATGAAGCAAAAATATATAGTCCAGAATGTTTTTATATTTTAAACTTTAAATATTTTAATGAATTCTTTCAAATTCCAGGTCACAGTATTTGGCAATATAAAAAAAAATGTAAAGGCCAACAGCAAATCATCATCTACAAGAAAATAGAATGGTTGGATTCTCTCAAAAATATTATCATGATAAAATGCATTTATTTGCACCTGAAAAAAAAAAAAAGACAAATTCTATGCTCTGTGGAAAATAAACAAGTCCTTAAGATAGCCATTACTTTTATTCTAAACATGGACCCAGAAGAATGTTCAATCATGTACCCTGCTTGTTTAATATATTAAACATCTATTCATTTCAATCACATATTTTAAGTGTCTACTGTGTGCAAGGCACTGCTAAACTCTGAAGAGAGTAAAACGTGAGCAAGACGTAGCTCCTACTCTCATGAGTCCAGTGGCAATGGCAAAGAATGACAACCACCACTCCAGTTACAGTTTATTGAACACCTATTATTTATCCGCCTAGCTGGGCATTTTACACCCATTTTTTTCCCAACCATCACAATAAAAGAGTCAGAGAGAGCTAGATTCAGCTATGCTCATTCACTCATAAAAAATAAATTATTAACTGGGGGTTGATCCTAATGCCAAGAATCACACAAGGCCTTGGAGAAATTATGCTAAACAGAACAGTTCCTACCCTTGCAGAACTTAGGATCCAGGAAATGAAACACAGGTAAGAAAAAGGATAATATCATTTTAGTAAGCTATGCTATGATGGGGAATTGATACAGGATGGTACAGAGCACACAGGAAGGAATCCTACCCTAGTCTTGGGCATTAGGGAAGCCTTTCTGGAGGAAGCTAACTAAGCAAGGGCATGGGGGAGGTGGAGGTAGGGGGAGAGGGGGAGGAGGAGGTAGGGGAGCAGGAGGGGGAGGAGGAGGGGAAGGAAGGAGGAAAGGGAGGAGGAGGAGATAGATGGCTCCTAGTAGAAGAAAAAGCACAGAAAAAAGCATCTCTCTCTCTCCATGTGAGAGACAACATGGCTCAAGAATGTAGTTTAACACAGCTGGAGCAGGCATGGGTGTGTCGCACACCAGCAGGGAGGGAGGGGAAAAACCAGGATGCTGGAGGAGGGTGGGGAGGTGAGGGCAGAGGGAAGAGCAGATCTAGGCGGAAGGGGGAAGGTGGCCTGAGAGATGGGGCAGTTGTGAGAGGTGAGCCATCTCCAGGGCAGGCTGCTCCTGAGAAGTCAGCAGTGGCCAGTCCTGGAGAGGCTGTGCCCTGTAACACGAGAACATGAGCTATAAAGAAAGAGGGGGAGGACTTCGGATTTGGTGATGAGGTCTTGGGTCAGCTTGAAACGGCAGTGTTGGGAATTAAAGGGGAGGGAGGAGACCCTGCAGGAAAGGGCTGGGGAGTGGGGGTGAAGCGGCAGGCAGTGAGGGGAGCAGGCGAAGGGAAGGGGACCATCCCAACTCAGCGCTGGTGCCAAGAGCCCGCTTGGGCTGCTGCAGCCTGACCTGGCAGGTCGTCTGGCCCCGGCCTGTTCCTCCTTCCCCAGCAAGGCTCAAAGGCCTGTTCCCTAATGCTGCCTCCACCCTGTCTATTCCTGGGCTTGATCCTCCTTTGCAAGCAACAAAGAGAGTGGCTCATTCTTTCTTTGATGCTCTCGGCCACAAGCTCTTTTGATTTCATAGGATTTGTTGCTAAAAACCTGAGAAAACAAACAAGACAATCATAAGGGTTACAAAAATAATGAAAATGACAACTAAACTAAAATGTGGAGTACATTATAATTTCCAAAGTCTTAAAAGACTCTTAAAATCCCAATCCAGACGCCCGTTCTTAAGAACTTCTTTCTCCGTCTGTTTGTAAGGGTGAAGATGAGCAGACAACTTTCTTTCAGCTCCTTTCCCTCTTAGAAGCCTCCTTCCAGGACAGAAGAGGCAACCAGGGACCTCGTACCCTGCAGTGGACACTTGCATTTCTGAACATTCCAGACTGGGTCGCACCAAACAATAGACCTCGTGGGGCATTTTATCCTACCAGATCAAGAGAACATTTTCTTAAAACTGACTTCTTTTTTTAAAAAGTACACATGATAAATACATGAAGATTCTTTATACTATTATCTGTACACTTTTGTGTATATTTGAAATTTTCCATAATAAAACGTCTTTTTTTTAAAAAAAAATAAAAAGCTCATAGCTACAAGAATGTATAACTTAAAGAATGTGCTGAAATAATGAAAAACCAAATGTTTTTGATCTGATGTTTTCTGTAAACATGGTCACTATCTAATTCTAGTGGAAAGAGAAAAATTAAGAATGCTTTATAGGACTAATAAAAGGACTGTTAAAAAAACACATGTAAGAAGAGATAATAAAAAGAACAGAGGACACGTGTTCTAGGGCAGGCAATAAAACAAGTCACTCAAAACAAATGTCTTCTCAAATTAACAATAGAGAGAATCAGGGTTAAGATAAACTAATTGTTTAAAACTGATAGGTATAAAATAATTACTATATTTGTAATGATTACAAAACAGGGGCGGTAATTTGAACATTTTTTAATATTCCAAATACTTTTAAATTTTTTTATCACCTAGCTTAGAAATGAAGGGAAATGTAAAATAAATGCTTGTTCACTTACTCATTCTTCATACATCCATTTATTAATTTAACAAGAAAGTACTGAACGCCTAGCATGTCAGGCACTGAGGATATAACAATGAACTATGTTCTCCTGAGACAGACAATTGTAAGGAAATAAATGAACCAAGTTTATTTGAGATAAAGTACAATGAAAGTAAGGTTTTATATTGGCAATAGGTGAGTTCTATAAAGTCACTACAAACACTATAGCGAATACTGAACCATTGTTCCTAGGGTAAATATAGGATTAGGTTCTTGTGAACCTTTGGTCACCACATTTTCATCAGCCAATCAATACATCACCATGTTTTATGTGTGTTTCTATTTAAAGACATATATATATACATATATATAATTGATTCATTAACCATTGAGCTCAAGGCCAACAGTGGATTGGCTCATGCCAGAATGAAGCTTATCTAACGTGTATTTTCTCCACAGACATATCACAGCCTTCTTGCACTTAGGAACACTAGACTGCACTTCAACAGTACACTTGGGGGGCTTTTTAAGTGGCAAAATCATCAACAGAAAGCACAAAAATGCAAAAAGCATGGCACTAAATAGCGAAAAGCACACTCGCTAACAGTCCGAGAGCTGACACAAGAAGGCAGAGAGCGTTGCCACGTTCGAGCTCAGCCGGGAAAATGTACACCTGGCAACTCAAATTTTTCACTGCTCTGCACATGTCCACAAGTGACCAGGAAATCACTACAAGTATTGACTGCGGGGCTACAAATTTTAGTGAGTAGGTGAATCTGTGAATAATGAGGATTGACTATAATGCATCATGGCAATGTGCTTAGGGGCAGGAAGTACTTCAGACTGGGTGGCTAAGGAAGGCCTCGTAGATGATCTTGAGCTGAGATCTGAATGCCCCAGAGGTAGCCACAGGTATCTGGGGAAGGTCTAAAGTGAAGAGCACTCTTCTCCAAGAAAATAGTGAGTGCAAAGGCCTCAAAGCCAGAATGAAGTTGGCACGTTCTAAAAGCAGAAAAGATCTGTGTGTCAATAGCTCTGGTGTCCAACATGGCAGCCACTGGCCACAAGTGGCTACTGAGCCCTTGAGACGTGCTAGTTGGAACTGAGATGTGCAGCAAGTGTGTAATGCACAGCAAGCTTCAAAGACGTCTTGTGGAAAAAGAGAATCTGAAATAGCCCATTAACAATTTGCATATTGTACAGATTTTATGTTGAAATGATACCATTTTGGAAATGATGAATTAGATAAAATAGATTGCTTCAATAAATATCACCTGTCTCTTTTTACCTTTTTCATGTGGCTTCTAGGAATTTTAAAATTCTATATGCAGATTGCAAGGGGGAGAGGAGAATAAGGTTGGACAGATAGCAGGTACCAGATAATTTAGGGTTTTATAAGTGATAATAACGAGTTTGGACTTTATTCTAAGCGCATCGCGAAAATCCATCAGAAGGTCTAGAGTGGGAAGAAACATATCAGAGTTGAGTTAAAAGCAAATCTCAAGTTAAAAAGTGCATAGAGGACACTGTGGAACACAAAGAAGGGAGTTGGTAATTCTCAGCAAAAGCTTCAAGGAGATGACCCTTAAGCTATGTCTTAAACTAAGTTCGGGTCCGGGAAGTGGGTCAACCACTCTATAGAGGGTCATTGCTGGGCGATGACACAGGCATCAATAGGACTGCTCCTTTCAAGGAACAAAAGAAGTTAAATATGACTATTGTGATGATTTATTCCATGCCTTTCTTCAAAGAATCCAAAGTCTTTATCTTCAGGCCTCTCTTCTGAGCAGTAGGTACCTATAAGTAACTGCTTTTAGGTATCTTTACTTACACATCTCAAATTCAATGTGCTCCAAACTGACCTCATGTTTGCCTATCAAAGTCTGTTCCCTTCAGTATTCCCTCACACAGCACCTGACAGCACCATCCTTCGGCCACGACAAGGTAGAAACCAGGGCACCAACAGGGACACCTCTCTTTCCTCCTAAATCTAGTCATGCAGTAAATTCTGTTAGTTTTACCTTCTGTGTATCTCTTAACCTATCCACTTCTCTCCTTCTCCTCCCTGCTCCAAGCTGCCCTAATTGCCTGCCTGGATTACTGAATTAGGTTTTATTTTTATTTATTTTATTTATTTATTTATTTTGAGACAGAGTCTCACTCTGTTGCCGGGGCTAGAGTGCCATGGCATCA